GCAAAGGCCTAATTGTGATTCTAAATACCTAAGAGAATAATGATTAGTCGGTAATAAGGCCATTACATTCAGTTAAGAGCCCACTGGTAAATGTAGTAAGAAAGATTTTGATGTCTGTGCAAATGAGGAAGCTGAATTGAAAAGGATCAAAGAAAGCATTGATAGATGGGCCTAAGTACAAAAGAGCAGGGATAAATGGAGTGCCTCACAAAGCTAAGGATGTTATGGGTACAGAAGAAAACAGAAATACCAATAAGAGACAAAATATTTAATAAGTTGTCCTTTCACAAATGCAAAAAAAAAAAAGATAACAGAATAAAGTAAATGTTAAGAGATGAAGTGATTATCGAAGTATATAGGGAAAGTCACATAATATTTTTAAAAAGTAAAGTGGGAGAGTTTAAATAAAACACATTGTATCTGAGGTTTGTCCTGAAAACTTTACAGTTGCTATTGGGGAAAGCATAAAAATTCTGACTGGGTAAAAACAAAACTGATGAATCAGGCATAGATCTTAAAAAGACAGGTTCAGGAAGATAGCATGAGGAAAATGATTAAGTGGGGGTTTTTTAAAGTTGTTTGCAAGAGAGTTAACAAGGGCAAAATGTCAGGGAGACAGCAGAGCTGGAGGAGGAAAGAACAAATTTGTTGAGGGGGAAGTCGGTATGTTTCTTTGACTTTCTCCACAGGAACAAAGCAGAATGTGAGCATAAATTAAGAGGGTGAATCCCAAAGGTGAGTGAGCGCTAAGGATTATTTAGAACACAGTCAAATTTTTTAAATATACTGCAAATTAAGACACGTAGGGGGGAAAATAATTTTATGTGAACAAAATATGAAGTATTCGACGGTAAGTAAACTGTGAAAGGATCTTCTCATTAGAGCTTGTTTCCTCAAAGGTAGGTGCTGAGTAGTAAACTCTGCTATTATTTGGTAAAGATATATCCAAAATTATAAATTTTTAATTAAAAAAACACATCAGGTTATAAAAGTACTAAACACCTTTGAAACCTTTTTTTTAAATTTGAAATAACAGTTTGGCCTTTAGTAAATTCCCAATTGAGCAAGACATTCAAATTAATAAAAATCTATATAACTGAAAAGTTATCATAAAAATGTCACTGTTGATGGCAGATGGCCTAAACTGAATCTATACAACACGTACGCGTATTTTATTCCTCTAAGTTCAAGTTAAACTTTATATATATGATAGCTTAGTATTGTTAATACCGAGATTAAACTATTAGTTTATAACTTGAATTTTCTATTAAAGTTATAATTCCACAAAGAAGCCTACAATTTGACAAAAAGGGAGAGATGCTTTTGCTAATTCGTGTCTTTAGATACAGTCAAAGGAAATATCTCCTAAGGCAGAGGGAGAACACATCCATATCCTGGAGCCTAAAGAGAATGACCTTTTATTGACAGGAGACAGCAACTGTGTGATCGTTCACAGGCGTGCATGGCACTATTCAAAGAGGATACTTAAAACATATACTCAATGCAAACACGTATCTGAAACAGTAGCGCCTTCTATCAACTTTCAAAGGCAGCCTTACTTGTGCCCACAAGTGGCAGCCCAGCAGACAGCGGCATCAGACCTAGAAGGGCTGTGGCCTGTACAGCACGCAGTGAAGTGCAGTGCTCTACTTGTTTGCAATGGTTTTATTTTTCGACTAGTTTTTATCACACTTGGCATGAACAAGGGAACATGTGCTTTGCTAAATTTGAACTTTTAAGATGAAACTGAATTAACTGAGAACCAAAAAATTGCTTCTGAATTATCCTAAGATTGAAAAATGCCTTTCCTTTCACACAAGGAATGACAAAACAAAAGACAAATACGTCTTGGAAAAGTTGAAATGTGAGCAAGGAAGATCCTGTGGTTTGAGAACATTGTTGACTTTTTTCTGTTTCTAGGAACCTGAAATAAGACTATAATGAAAAGGCTTTTTCCCATACAGGACATTTCTGCTAACATGAAGATATGTGCTAAACCAAAAAGCTAAATAAACTTAATATGAGCATGAAACCTAATGGAAGCAGTATTTATTTTGTTCAATTAGAAAGTTCAATTAACTTGCCACTCCTTAAAACTCTGAGCGGCGACCTTTGAACCAGGAGGTCATGGTTCCATTCCCTGTCAAGGCACACGCCCAAAGTTGCCGGCTCGATCCCAGTAGGAGGCGTACAGGAGGCCACCGATCGATGATTCTCTCTCTCATCATTGATGTTTCCATCTCTCTCTCCCTCTCTGAAATCAATAAAAACATATTAAAAATATATATATAAACTTAGTATAATAATATGTATATATAAAATGTTATATATAAACGTATTTTATATATACATAAACATATATACTAAATACGTATAACCCTTGCCCCCAAATTTAAAGTTAAGTTCTATTCTTCCTTTTTCCTACTAGGATTAGAACAAAATAACTATATTGGCTAAAATGCCCAGAGGCCTATCCCTAGGGACGCTGTCTTCTCTTAAACTCCTTCTTCCTCTTCATAGAAGGTGGGCCAAGACACCTAAATGTAAATGCTTTGTATCTAAAGGGAGTGCCGTGTCATGCAGAGTTGAAAGCCAAAATAATTTTCATGTAAAAATCCAAGTTATAAAGCACAGGATATGTTTATAAGGAATCTAGTGATAAGCAATAGGTCAAACTACCTGGAAGAATCAGCTTGTGGTACAAGCTTCACTGCATTAAGAATGTCACAGTTAGTGTGTTTATTAAATTAAATATTACCAGCAAGGGTCTTCTAAATGCCATGTTCCTAATACTAGATTACATATTTATTTCAGAGTTAGCATCGTAAGAGGGGGGGCTATCACTAGAAAGCCTATTAAGCCATGGTTTTATTTTTCCATTGCGTTAATGGAACTATTCAAATCAAATTTTTCACGCCATGCCTTGAACACCACCGCAAACCATACTGTGGGTGTAAAATACATGCAAGGCGGACATAATCAGCTCAGATGAGACCTGAGTCTTAGACACCATCAAGTTTACTTTATTGTGAAAGCAGTGGGGTTTTCTTTCAAGTGAATATATTTTTAAATACGTTGCAGCCCGACTTACAACCTGGAGACAGGAACCAGGAAGATACACAAATCTCAAAGCCACCGAATTAAACCCAATAGAATGCCTTAAAACTTGCCGAGTTTGTCCCTGTCTTCCCTGACCCTTATTTTACCTTGCTGTTCTGGCAAAAGAAGATCTGACGGCCCAAAAGTAAACCTTGCCCTCAGATTGTAACTTCAACAAATCATATACACTTAATGTGCTTAAAAAGTCTCCCCTAACTTTTAAAAGATAGATTTCACTGATGTTAGACCAAAAATGTACTTTCTTTTTTCCAAGCAAATTTATTAAGAATCAAAAATTTACTCTTTCAAATAGTAAAATTCATAAAGCAATTGCCCACCTAGTATCAGGGTAAATTAAATATTGTGTAAACTGAATGTGTATCACTAGTATTTAAAGTTGCTAACTTCTTCATAAATAAGTTTGTCTGGAAATAATCATGGTTGCTGTTTCCTCCGGGGGGATCTAGACTGGTTTGTTTTCACACAGGATCATAAATCTGTGTGTGCTCTTTCCTATCCCATGGCTAACATGCCTCCACGATACGCTGATATACACAAGAAAGGGATGCGGCCCCCAGGACAGGCTGGGCATTTTATAAGTCACCCACGACCACACACACGTTGCCCAAATGTCGCCAGAGATATTTTTCATTCTCCTGTTAGATAAATGGCCTGTATTCAACAAGGCCTTTGCTCCAGGCCTGCACCCGAAACAGAAAGCAGAACATCCTGGAAAGCGTCGGTGCCAAAAAGAGAAATACTTATCATCACAAAAGAGGGTGGATCACGGAGCGTTTTCGCAGTGGGATTTATAAGAACGTGTAACTGCAGGAGGTGACGGGGTTCGGAAAGTTCTCTCTAGGTCCTAAATGACTGCATTGTAAGCGCTCGGGTGCTGTAAGTCGGTGCTAAGGAGGCAAAAACAACTACAATTTTGAAACCAACAGTTGGGCACATATCTGCTAGGCCCAGCCGGCTTTCCCGCCCGCAACCCTAGTCCACTGCCCGGCGCGCCTCCCTGCGGAAGGGCGCGC